GAATTTCATTTCCTTTTGATATATACCCAGAAGTAGAATTGCTAGCTCATATGACAGCTCTATTTTTAATTTTTTGAGGAACTTCCCTATTGTTTTCCCTCATGGGTGTACTAATTTACAATTCCACCAACACTCCACAAGATTAACCAATTTCTTAACACCGGAAAGTCTCTCTCTACTCACCCTGCCTTTTTTTTTTTTTTTTTTTGGTCTTTTGTTGTGCTACCAGATCCAGGGGTTTGTGGGTGCTCAGAAACTTTGCATTTGTACTCCTCATATCTGGATTAAAACTGGAAGAAAAGAGCACCTTCCTTGAGTCCTGGAGCAGAGAGCTCCGGCAGGAGATGGAGCAAGGCAGAGGCAAAGAAGCTAAGAGGTAGGGAGAGGCGGAGGGAGACAGGCAGCACTCAGATTTGCAGCTCTCCCTCTTCATTCTGTGGGTCCCAGGACGGAGGCTCTCCTCCCTGCAGCAACCTTTGTGGGCTCCCTACTAATGGACTGAAGGCAAAATATCCTCAACTCCCTGGTTGGTCCTAGCTGCAGGAGCCTAAACCACTAACCACCGTTAAATTACAAAGACAGCAGGAGTGTTTTCCACCCTTGGAGTGCATCAGGATGTAGAGTTTCCATAGGGAAGAACTTTCAGTGCCCAAAGAGCAGCTCCTGTGTGCAGAGCCAAGCAGTGGGGAACGTGCTGGCACCGACAGTTTGTGTCCACTGCCCAGAGCAATGCTGGAGCCCAACTTCCGCAATTCTCCTTTGGGTTCTGTGAAGAGAAAACCGGACATCTTTTTGAGGTGATTTATGCAACTTCTCTTTTCAGTCCAGTCATCCCAAACATATTCTCCAGATTTTTCTATAAAGCTCTAACAATAATTTTGATTAAAAAATAAATAAATAGATGACATGATAATGCATAATAGCATCAGAGGATGTCAAGACAGAAGAGAGAGGTTTGGGAGACACTCCAGATGTCTACCTGCAGTTCTTAAAATGCAGTAGGGGAAACCTCCTGACCCCTGGCAGCCTTTCAGGGGGTCTGCGAGGTTCAAACTATTTTCATAATAGTATTCAGACATTTCTTTTTCACCCTTACAAGGGTGCAGTGGAATTTCAGTAGGCTCTGCGATGTATGGTATTGCAACAGCCAGAATGCAGAAGCAGATGTGAGAATTCACTGTTTTCCACTCAATCAGAATTTCAGGAGATGTGCCAAATGTAAAAGGTCACTTCTCTCATGAGGCATTTTTTTGTCATGGGAAACAGTTATTTTTAAGAAAACTTAAGTTCTCATGTTTATTATTATTTTAAAACAAATTAACAATTACTTAACATTTTCCTCCCTTTTGATTTATGACACCGTAAGTATTGGTAGATGGGATGCTCCCCGGAAAGCCCACTGGGATTCTCATTTTGAGGAATGTAAAGGGTCCTTGAGGCCAAACACGTGGAGAACTGGGGCTTTAGACGTTTTAACACTGAGCACGCAAACGCCCCCAACCTTGCCTGAGTCTCAGTTAAAGGGAGAGCATTAGATGGGATGGTTTCCGATGTCTCTTCACTTCTGTACAGCTGCAGGCTTGCACGAGCCTTTCTTGTGACTGGGTGTTGATGAGGCGGGAAAAGGAGGTGAGGAAGGCACGGGTGCACGGAGGGGAGGGCCTGCCAGGACTGGGGCTCTGCACTGTCCGGCTCAGGGTTTCAGTGGGTGCAGAGCAGGGATTTGATTTGAACAGGACTCCAGATCTGTGAGCACAGAGGAGCCCAGGAAGGGGCACGCGGGGGGTGGATCACAGCCTGGACAGGATGTGGAGAGGGTGTGCAGGAGTTCACTAGTTGCGCAGGTGCTCAGGAGGGCGCATGAAGCCTTTGGTCCAAGTTCCCAGTGAAGCATGCGCTGGCTCCTGCAGGCTCCTTGAAGGGAGCTGGGGGAAGAGGGTCGCTGGAGGGCTGCCTGGAGGAGGAGTCACATCCTGTCCCTTCTGGAAACAGGGGTGCTCTCCGGGAGCTGTGTGGGAGACTTCTAGGATTCAGATTTCAGGACTGGTGGCTGTTGCAACCACAGGACGTTTTTCTCTCACAAAAGTTCACGATAATCCCTGTATGCCAGACATACTCCCTCTCCTGTCCTCTTCCACCCCTGCAAGCAGCGACATTCATGTTCATTCAAAAGACATCTTCCACAGACATCCCGTCCTCTCTCTGTGCTGGCTGTTCCCAGGCCTCCTGCGCTCTTTCTTCCCTGAGGAACTTTCTCCTTTTCCAGGCCTGTGCATGCCTCTCCATCCTTGCTTTGCTTGGGGGTGAGGGTGGGAGAGTGCCTCTGGCAGCCATGAGCAGTAGACAGTGGCAGCAAGCAGCAGGCAAAGCTGGGAGGCACCCCCACCGGCCTGGAGCGTGGAAGGCAGGTATTGGGACTGCAGGGGCCAGTGGCCATGAAGCCGGGTTTGCTTAGAGTCCTGAGAGGGAGAGACAGAGAGAGAGGCAGGGGCAGGGGCCAGGTCAGGCCTGCTGAGATTCCCCAGCTAAGATGCAGCTGCGCTCAGGTTCTGGAAAGGAGAAGTGCCCGGAATGCGGGCAGGACAAGTATTGCGACAGCACAGTCAGGCCACTTCCATTTTTTTTTTCTTTCCCCTACTTTTTTTGTGATTTGAGAATCCCAGTGCATTAAAAAAAAGGGGAAGAAGGAGGAGAAGAAATGACAAAGCAGAGTTTCAAAACGGGTGTGTTTTCACTGGTTACCTGGAATAAACCTGCATTTATATGTATTCAAGGTCCAGTGCGATGACATTTTATTTCTAGGCGCCCAAAAAGACAGTGACCGGGCTCTCTGACAGGGTGCAGAATTTCAAGTCCTGTTTCTGAACACAGTAATCTCACTAGCGGACTCTAGATGAGCTGGGGCATTTTATACAATTAGGAGCTTGAGCAACGGTTGTTCTTAAGGAATAAAAGATCATTCTGACACTTGTTATAGTGGAAAGACTTCACAGGACTATTGTAACAGAGGTCTTGCAGGAGGGGAGAGAGATCCCTCTCAATGTGAAATACAGTAAAGACAGCTGGGGATACACAGGCCAGGACAACAGGGAGGAGGTCTGTTGCTGAGGATTCTCCAGAAACCCAACTAACATGATTCTTACTAAAGGCCAAGGAGTGAGGGGGTGCTGAGCCTTTCAGGGTGAGGGTGAGAAACCTGATGGGATCTGGCGGCGGGTAGGGTGGAGAGGACCTAGCAGAATTCTCCCTGAAGCTAGCATGACTGTCAGAAGGGAGGATGAAGGCCAATTTTGGGGTCTCCTCAAGAACAGGCTCAAAGGAACCTGAGTGAATTCTGGGCACGGTGAGACTCCTGTCACTGGACAACATTACCTGGAAGGATGATTTTTTTTTTTTTAAATCTCCTACCATACTTCGAAATACTTTCAGTAATATTGTGCTTTGAACATGAGACTTGTAGAAATATGAAAAAAAATATTAGAACGTTGTACTGCAGGGACTACTGATGTAGGAAAGACATTAGGGTTTGAAGCCCATGGCCAAGAAAGAATTCTTGAGACATCTTTGGTGCAAAAAGGTGATTTTATTAAAGCATGGTGACAGGACCCATGGGCAGAAAGAGTTGCACTGGGGTCATGAGGCGTGGCCCATTTTATACTTTCATGTTGGGAGGGGGTTAGGAAGAGCGTGAGTCTCTAAAGAATTTTGGAAGTAAAGTTTCCAGGACCTTAAGAAGGCTAGCTGTTGTTGGGAAAATGTCACTTATCACCATCTAATGAAACCTTAGTCATGAGACTGTTCAGATGTATATCAGTGGGTCATATCTTTGGAGTATGATTGCCAACAGTTATCTTTGGGTTCTTAGAGATAAAGGAAATTTCCAAAGGAATTTTTATGTGTTAAAGCAGACTCACAGGATCCTAGGGGGTGGCGGGAGGTGGGGGAGTTTAGGTTAAGATTGCCTTTTGCCCTTAGCAAAGTATTAACATCAAGGCAGTTGAGTCCCTAGAGGAATGTCACTCTGCTTGTTTCAAGGACTTGTCCGTGGCTGTAGGTAGTAAGGAAGTTTAATAATTGTTCTTCTCACTTTATTTCCCCCAACAGTATAGGTTGTTGCTTACATTTGTGTGTGTGTATGTGGAAAATTATATATATTTGTATCTCCACACTTTAAATTTTACTTTTATGCTTCTTACTTTTTCCAGCTTGATTGAGATACAGTTGACATATAACGCTGCATATGTTTAAGGAGTACAAATTTTTGATCGGATACTTTTATGTGTGGGGATTCACAGTGTCTATAGAGATAGACAAAATCTGACTTGTCAATGCCTCCCTGGATGGGACTGATTGAAAAGCGAAGGAGGAGTGCCCAGAAGGCTAGCTTTCCTTTGAAGTTTCTTGGCTGAAAGCAGCCAGATTCTTACTGGGGCTCAAGGTTTTCATCTAGGGAGTCAATGTTTAAGTGTTGAAGAAAAACAGGCACCTGTGGTGGTCACGTACTTCACGAACTCCTTGCCTCCTCGCCCAAATCACACACTGCCCCATATATTGTCAACCTGACCATTAAGTTTACACTTTCCTCCTTGCCTTGCACTTGCGTCTGATGTACTGCTATGATCCCAGTGAAAGCAGAGACAAAGCGTGGCTCTGGACCTTTCACCACTAGAGCGTCTCTTCCCCAGGCCTCTCCTTTCTCCTACTTAGGTGTATGGAGTCATCTTTTCATTTGCTGTCTTGGGGTTTGCTGGCCACACCTGACAATATGTTGCAGAAGGGTCACCGCCAAAACTTGAGCTAATGCTTCCATCATAGTACATAATTACCATCGCTCTTCCTGGTGAGAATATCTGAGATTTACTGCTTTTGCAACTTTTGAGTATGTAATAGAGTATCATTGACCATAGTCCTTGTGTTCTGTTGGTGGAAATGTAAATTATTTCAATGACTTTGGAAAATAGGATGGAGATTTCTCAAAAAATTAAAAATGATATGGCCATGTGCTCACTTCAGCAGCACAGATACTAAAATTGGAACAACACCGAGAAGATTAACAGGGCCCCACACAAGGATGACACAGATTTGTGAAGCTTTCCATATTTTTAGAGAAAATTTCATTCCAATGATTTCATATATTATAGGACTATCCACAATTCAGGGCCAGAATAAATTGAAGTCTTTTGGTCCATGTGGCTTAGTGTCTGAGCTCCAAATTAAATGTCATGGCTATCTTTAAAGCATGGGGAAAAAAAAAAAGAGAGAGAGAGAGAGAGAGAGAATAGAATTACCATATCATCCCATTATCCCACTTCTGGGTATATATCCAAAGGAAATGAAAACAGGATCAAAATATATCTTCACTTGAATGCAGCATTACTCACTTTAGCCAAGATATGGAAACAATGCAAGTGTCCACGAATGGAAAGTGAGTGAGTTCTGATCTAGTCTGAGGCTTCTGATCTCCTGCATTGCCAAGGTAAGGATGCTTACTTGCATCTTGCCCTGGGAACAAACAGGCACTTTTCTTTCCTTCCTCATCTCTTCTATGATTATTCCCCGTGTATGCTCCTCCAGCCCTGAGGCCCCTCCTCCCTCCAAACAAGGTTAACCATAGACAAGATCATGGGGCCTTTAGGCTACACCCTCTACCCACCCTGATTCTTTCTCTAAACAAAAAATTCTGTGATTCTTTTTACCAGCACCTGTCCTTAGAGGTAGTGTGGATGAACTTATGTTACATGCATTTGAGCCTTTGCATTTTTCACATGGGACTAAAAAACCTGTTATCTGAAAAGAAAATCCTAGATGTCTGTGAGCTGACAAGCTTGGGAAAGTATAGTTTAAGGCAGGAGTTCCTCCCTATTACCTGTGCTGTTGGAAGCAGACCAGTTGTCCCAAAGTCAATTCACCTAACACCAGTTCGCCCAACGCTCAATCACAATTGTCCTAAAACTGTATGACTCAGACTTCACTTTCACAAATTTTAGGATCATTTCAGCAGCTTTTGTGAATTTGTCTATTAAATAAAATTTCCTATTTGTCTGCAATTTTATCATTTAAAAAAAAAAGAACTATTCAATACCTAACTTGTTTTATTCTCAGGTTACCAATAGGAAATACACTTTTTCAATACTTAATGTGTGGTTTACTGTATTTTCCTATTTGACCCTTCTCCTTGGGGTTTTGCTCTGTTTAAATGGGCATTTATCAGTGTTTTCACCTTATTTATTAGCATGGATTTTGTGGGTGCCCAGTGCTTGCCTGCATGCAACCATGATCTTTCTCATCTAGTGGTTCTTGTCTACACCTGGGTTCATGATGCTGGCAAGGGCTCAGAGATGTCCCCATTGTCTTACTGATACTGATTCTAGAGTTAACCCATTATTGTAAGAGAACATGCTCTGTGTGATTTAAATTCTTTTAAATTTATTGAATTTTTTTTTTAATGGTCCAAGGCAAGGTCTACTTTAATAAATGTTCTAATGTTCCATGAACCCTTGAAAAAACATGTGTGTTTTGCTGTTTTTGGGTGGAGTGTTCTATATATATATATCAGTTCAATCCAGTTGGTTAATTTGGTGTTCTGCTCTTTTATGATCTCTCTGAATTACTATCTATTCTATTGATAACTGAGAGTTGAAATCCCAACTGCAATTGTACTTCTCTATATTTCTTCTTTCAGCTCCATCTATTTTTGTATTTTCTTTTTTTTAAAGTATTAATTTTTGTATACTGTATTTTTTTTAGCTTTTCAACCTACCTCTGTCATAGTATTTGGAATGACTGTAGATAGCTGTGGAATCTGAGTATGATGGGATGATAGGTTGGGTGAAAGAACAACTCTCCTTTGGGCCTCACTGGAACCTTGGAGGGGGAAGGGTTAGGGGTGAGTGTGTTTTCTAGTGCTATTGGAGTGGTTATTGCCATCCCAAATTTCTGTTTTTCGGTCACCCTTTCCTTGGTGCTTTGGCTAAGGGAAAGACATTTTATTGCAACTTTTTTTTTTTTTTTTTTTTTTTTTTTTTGGTCAGCTGTTGGTGGTTCTGGGTTGGAGATGCAGGGGAAACTTTTTTCCCTACATTTCTATGTTCCCAGTTGGGGGGCCCAGTAACAAAAGACATTAACAAAAGAAAAGCTTACAGCTTTATTTAATTCTAATTTTATATGACAGAGGAACCTTCATGAGGGAATAAAGATATGAAGAAGCAGTTAAGTCTGAACATTTTTATCATAATTTCATGAAGAGTGGAAAGTCATGGAAAGACGTAATAGGATATACAATAAAGATATAAGATAAACTGCTTGTTATTTTACCAAGAAAAATGGGTTTATTCAGAAAGAGCAGAGAATTGAGGGTTTTATGACCTGCTTCAGGGAAGGTCAGAAAGGCCTTATTGCACCTGCCATTTCTTAATTCCTTCATCCTGAAATATTCCATTACGGCAAGGCACCATATTTGGGGGCAGAGTGCCCTGAGCTCCATCAGAGGATTCTTTACTGCTCTATCCAGCATGTAAGGGAGGCAAGAAAGAAACCCAGGGGCCTTACCACCCTATAGTCATGATATCCCAAGGCAGTCCACCTTCTTCTTTAGAACTTTCAGGGATTTCCTATGTGTTTTTATTGTGTTGTATCCAGGATTCTTCAGTTATGCAAAGGAGGACCTGGAATCGTGTTACTTCATTTTGGTGGAGCCACAAGACTCTACCTCAGATTTTAAAATAACTGTTTATTAAAATATAAACCACTTCATTCTTTTTAGCAGCTCTGGAGCGTTCCATAGTCTGGGTGTATCACATTTTATTTAAACTGTAGGAGAGCATTTATTGAAAATAATCTCTGTAAACCCCTTTGGGATTTCCATCACTCACTTTCCTTTAGGAACACCAACCCAAAGCAATCTACACATTCAATGCAATCCCTATCAAAATATCACCATCTTTCACAGAGTTAAAACAATCCTAAAAACAATCTTGGGAAAACAAACAAACAAACAAACAAACAAACAAAAAACAAACCAAAAAACCCACAAAAGAACCAAAGCTGGAGGCATCATAATTCTGGACTTCAAGCTGTATTAAAAAACTTGTAGCGATAAACACGGTATGGTACTCGCACAAAACCAGACACATAGATCCATGGAACAGAACAGAAAACCCAGAAAAAGACCCTCAAGTCTATGTTGAACTAATCTTCAACAAATCAGGAAAGAATATCCAATGGAAAAAATACAGTTTCCTCAATAAAAAGTGCTGGGGAAATTGGACAGCTATATATAGAAGAATGAAACTTGATCATTCTCTTACACCCAAAGATAAAATCCAAATGGATGAAAAACTTCAATATGAGACAGGAATCCATCAAAATCCTAAGGGAGAACATACATAGCAACCTCTTCAACATTGGCCACAGTAACTTCTTTCAAGAAATGTTTCTGAAGGTTTGGAAAATAAAAGCAAAAATGAACTTTTGGGACTTCATCAAGTTCAAAAGCTTCTGCACAGCAAAAGAAACAGTCAAGAAAACAAAGAAGCAACCCACAGAATGGAAAAAGATATTTGCAAATGACACTACAGACAAAGGGCTGATATCCAAGATCTATAAGGAACTTCTCAAACTCACCACCCAAAAAATGGATAATCAACTCAAAAAATGGGCATAAGACATGAGCAGACATTTCTCCAAATACATAAGAATGGCTAAGAGACACATAAAAAATGTTCATCACCATTAGCCATCAGGGAAATACAAATCAAAACCACATTTAGATACCACCTTACACCAGTTTGAATGGCAAAAATTAATTTCAAAATATGAAAGGAAGTAGAAACAATCATCAGAAGTTATTACCAACAGTTATATGCCAATAAGCTAAGCAACCTAGATGAAATGGATGCATTCCTGGAAAACTATAAACTCCCAAAATTGAACCAGGAAGAAATTGACAACCTGAATAGGCCGATATCTAGTAACGAGATTGAAGCAGTGATCAAAAACCTCCCAAAAAACAAGAGCCCAGGGCCTGATGGATTCCCTGGGGAATTCTACCAAACTTTCAAAGAAGAAATAACACCTATTCTCCTGAAGCTGTTTCAAAAAATTGAAGCAGAAGCAAAACTTCCAGACTCTTTCTATGAAGCCAGCATTACCCTGATCCCCAAACCAGTCCCTAAGGCAAAGACCCTACCAAAAAGGAGAATTTCAAACCAATATCACTGAGGAATATGGATGCTAAGATTCTCAACAAGATTCTAGCAAACAGGATCCAACAGCACATTATAAAGATTATCCACCATGACCAGGTGGGATTCATTCCTGGGCTACAAGGATGGTTCAACATTTGCAAATCAATCAATGTGATAGAACAAATTAATAAGAGAAGATAGAAGAACCACATGGTCCTCTAAATTGATTCAGAAAAAGCATTTGACAAAATCCAGCATCTGTTCCTGATTAAAACACTTCAAAGTATAGGGATCGAGGGAACATTCCTGAACTTCATCAAATCTATCTATGAAAAACCCACAACAAATATCATCCTCAATGGGAAAAAGCTTGCAGCCTTCCTGTTGAGATCACGAACACGACAAGGATGCCCACTCTCACCACTCTTGTTCAACATAGTATTAGAAGGCCTAGCAACAGCAATCAGACAACCAAGAGAAATAAAAGGTATCCAAATTGGCAATGAAGAAGTCAAACTCTCTCTCTTCGCAGATGACATGATTCTTTATATGGAAAACCCAAAAGACTCCACCCCCAAACTACGAGAATTCATACAGCAATTCAGTAACATGGCAGGATACAAAGCCAATGTACAGAAATCAGTGGCTTTCTTATACACTAACAATGAAAATACAGAAAGGGAAATTAGAGAATCGATTCCATTTACTATAGCACCAAGAACCATAAGATAGCTGGGAATCAACCTAACCAAAGAGGTAAAGGATCTGTACTCGAGGAACTACAGAACACTCATGAAAGAAATTGAAGAAGACACAAAAAGATGGAAGACCATTCCATGCTCTTGGATCGGAAGAATAAACTTTATTAAAATGTCTATACTGCCTAGAGCAATCTATACTTTTAATGCCATTCCGATCA